CGAGGAGTTTAAGGTTAACTTGTTGCAAGCTGGCTACCATTGTGTTAAATGTTATGAGACATGGTTTTGTAATTGTGATGTATACAAGGTCCAATTTTTTTTAATAAAAAATATTTAAATCAAAGTAAAACTTACCTTATGTAAAATCAGAGTTAACTACTAATTTTTTTATAGAAATTGTCAGTAAAATATATTATTAAGATTATGGATCGTTTATCTTATTTTTAATCCAAGTTTGCATAAGAGGATATAAAACAAACTTATAATATATACACTTTCTTATATTAATAAGAGTTAATTACTTATACACTGTCAATGTAAATATTTTTTACACTAACAACCAATTATATATTTTTGTGCCATGTTACTGTAAGCACATTTACTTTTAATAGTGACATGACACAATTAAAAGATATAATTGGTTGTCAATGAAAAAAATTTTACACCAACAATGTCTAGGTGATTAATCTATTAATAATACATATTTTTTATATTTTTTTTTCTAAAATAACCTTAATCCTGAATTTTTTATTTTTTTTATTTTTTCAACTATAAGAATCCCTTACTTTCAAGATTTAATTTTTCTTTCCGATCACTTACCCTTTTTTTACACTTTTTTACACGCACTCCCTTCATGCCCTCTTATTTTGAATGTTCAATTTTTTTTTCAAACACTCTTCTCTTTCGCAAGTACTCTCATCCTTTATTTTTTTAGGATTTCAAAATGATTAAAATTTTGTAATTGTAATTTTTTCTTTTAAAACATGGAATTTTAATTCTCGCACACCCTTTTTTTCACATGCATTTAGTTTTGGTAACATTAATTTTTGTGTTTTGGAAAAAAAATATTTCTAGAAAAATATTTTCAAAATTATGAAAAATACTCTTTGGATATGTGTTTTTTATTTTTTTTTATTTTATACATATTTCAAGAAAGTATCTTCGAAAAGACTAAAGAAGAAGGAGGAAGAAGAGGATGGAGGAATAGGTAAATGAAAAAGATAGTTTTAAAAATAAGATTTATTTAAAATAAGAACTTGATTAAATTACTATTATAGGAATTTTTTAAATAAAAAAAGAGAGAAAAGAACATATTTATAAAAAAAAAAAAATAAAATGTGAATATATCATGAATCAATTATTTATTTATAAAATTAATCTTTAAAATTAAACGTTTGAAATCATGAAAAAAGTGGGAAAAAAAGGAGGTGTGTATAAAGAGAGTACATGTTTAGAAGAAATAAAATGATCATTGTATACAAGGAGATTGGAAGGGGATGCATGTGAAAAAGAAGTGAGTACTTCAAAAAAAAATTAAACATTAAAGGTAAGATAAAAAGAATTTGTAAAGTAAAAAAATAAAAAATAAAAAATAATAACGATATTTAAAAAAAAAAGTATAATAAAAGATATATTATGAATGTGGAGAGGTACATATATTATGACACGAAAGAAACCGGCCTGGCCTGGTTTCAAACGATGATATATAGGCTTTAAAGATATATTATCACCGTTAAGTCAATCTATTTATTTATATAATATAATATAATATAAAATTAATATATTTATATATTATTAAAAATATAAATAAATAAATAAATTTATAAATAAAATAAATTATTAATATTTTAAAAAAAATTATATAAATTTTTTATTATAGGTTTATAAACTTACAATTTACACATAAGAATATATCAACATACATGATTAGACATGAATTATTCTTTCAATAGAAAATAATTTAATTTCTTTCTTATATTTCTTTTAAAAATTAAATTTTAATAATATTGAGTAAATTATATCTTAAAGATAATTTATTGATTTTTAAAAATTAAGTTTATTGGTCTAATTAACATTAATAATTTAAGTAGACTTTTAAATTGGTTAATATGCCAAACCAAATTTTAAAAAGGTCAAGCTAGACCTATAAAAAATGCCTATGATAAATGATAAACCAAATTTAAATTTTAATTTTGTAGAACAAACCCCATCCACATATTCAAAACTTGGTCTAATCTAATTTATTTACATCTTTAATGATATACAAAATTGAGACGTTAATAAAAATATGAATACTAAAATAATAGAAGAAATTAAGTGTACGATTACTGCATCATTAGTTAAAATCATAAGTATCCTTTTGAATGATCAAGTCCATGTTTGATTTATTGTTAAAAATTAATAAAATCATACAAAAAAATTTATTTCTTAATTTAGTGTATAGAAATGTGTGAATCTCTATTTGTATTAATATAAATGGATTCCCAAACACACTCTAATACACATGATATTAAGATTTACATTATATTTTCTTATTTTCATTGGTGTGATTATGAAAAAAAAAACTTAATTGTGTTTGTTTAGTCTTTTAAACTTGGAGTATATTTTTTTTTCATTTCTCATATTTAAATTTGTTCTTTTAGTCTCAAAATATAAAAAAGAAATTATTATTTTGATTCTTCAAATTTAAAATTTATCATTTTATTTTTGTAATTTCAAAAAATATTGATTTAGTTACTAATTTTGTAATTGATAGTGACAAATTAAGAGGAATTAAAATAATAAGATTTTGTATATTTTAGATCTAAAAATATATATTTTAAATTTAAAGGATCAAAACAATAAATTTTAAAATTATAAGACTAAAAATAAATTTTACATTTCAGAGATAAAAAAATCCATACCTCATTTAAGATATTAAAAAAAATTAGACTATTAAAAAAACAATTATTTGAATTAGCATTCTGCTTTATGCATCCCTTTCTAAGTTTCATAAAATGAAGAGGAATATATCAATTATTTTATATTTCGTGAACCAATTAAATGGACTCTTTTTATGTGAGTCGAAAAGATTTTATAATAGGCATGATTTTTATATTATTTTGAAAATTTTAATGAACTCTAAAAAAAATTGGACTAATCTTATATAATTTATTGACGTATTATTTAATAAGGTTGGTCAATCTAATTAATAGTGTCAATACAAATAAAATTAAAATCCACATATCCAAATTAATCTTGTTTTTCTATTATATTAACTTTGAGTGAGACTTTGGTAGCATACTCTATTATTATTTTGTGTGCAGTGTTTGGTAGTTATCATTGAACAAAATAGGACATGGGGTAGTCGATTTGCATTTGGTTTTCGTGCGTGTTTTTTATGATGATTATCATACAATAGTTTTAAAAACTTTCACTATACTAAGATAATAATAGTTTTTTCACACACACTTATATATATATATATATATAT